CGCTAATGTCCGTGATGGTCCCCAGCCCCACAGAGTGGCAGCCCTGAGCTCGGGCCTGCCTCCAGGTGCCCCTGGCCCACATGCTGTGTGGTGAGGGATGCCGGGGGCGGGACTGGGGGCACCTAGCCCAGACTCGCTGGTCCAGGCAGGCTTCCAGGAAGGAGTGGTCACTAAGTATGGCCTTAGGCAGTGGCTGTCTATCCTGGCTGCACCTGTGAATCGTGTGGAAAGGGCTGAAACAGTCCCGTGCCCACACCTGAGAGTCTTGAGGAGCTTGCCAGTGACTGACGGGAGGCTGTTCCTGCCCCACGCTGGGAAGAGGGTTTCATGGTCGGAGCTGCTCATCTTGAGGAGGGGCTGCCTCTCAGAAGTAGGCTCCATTTCAGGGGGTGAGCTTCCCAGCACAGGGAGTAACCAAACTATAGTTGGGCACCACCGGCCAGCGTGCTCTGGAAAACTGGCCCCCACCCCCGTAACCCCTGGGTGTGTGGCCTGAGCACCTCAGAGGGCCTGCCCAGCCTGCAGCCTATTCCCTCACGACTTCTAAACCAGCAGGCGGGAGCTCCCAGAGGTCGGGCCACGTGTCGGGCAGGGGGCCAGGGTCTCGGGCCACCGCTGGCCCTTCTCTTGCCACCAAGCCCAAGGACCTGCCCTTGTCCCCTTAGACTCAGCCCCCCCTCTGTGACAGATGCAGGAGGCAGCTCCACTGTACAGATGGGGACAGGAAGGCTGTGGCAGGTGCCAGCCTTTCACTTGGGGCAGACGGTTCCTGGGCAGAGATGTGTAGGGCCGGACCCAGCCTTTTCTCCTGTCAGCGGTCAGGTTCCAGAACTGACTCCTGAGAGCGAGAGCCTGCTCTGAGGTGTCACCTTCCATCTGGGCTGGGGGTCCGCCACCCCCAACACACTCACAGTTTCCCCGGTGCAGCCCGAGGAATGTGGCTTCCTCGGATGTCCCCGACAGCGGGCTAGGTCCAGAGGGCAGGCCTGTACCTGGCCCTGGGGGACATAAGGGCGGCTGGAGCCGTGACCTGGAGCGGTGACCTGTGTCTGGGCGTGCTGGCCTGCTCCAGACCGCCTGCCACTTTCTAGGAAAGCAACTCCCTTCAGGCCCCTTTGCCCTGCCGTTCAGAACTCAGCATGTGACAGACGGGGCCCAGCAGGGACAGCTGGCACACACTCCAGTGGGTTCAGGGGAGGAGGGTTGAGTAAAGGGACTGCTCAGAAAGTCATGGCAGATACCAGGACCTGGAGCAAGAGGAGGCATCCTGCTTGTCACTCATGCTGGGCTGTTGGCCCCAGGCCTGATGGGCATGGGAGGGAGCGGGTTCTAGACCTGGAAACAGGGTACCTTGGTTCCAGAGGGTAGCCAGATGTTCGAGACCCTACAGGAAGGAGCTGGGGTGTCTGCGCCCCAGTCCCTGGCCTCCCTTCCCCCGGAAGTCAGTGGGCAAGGCTGCCTGCTGAGCATGAGGAGCGGGGTGGGGGTGGAGCTGGAGCCTGCATGTAACTCCTGCCCCCAGGCCTTGGTACGCGTGGCCACGACTGCCGAGGGCTTACGGAAGGTCTAGTGTCCGCAGAGCCTCCCCAGGCGGAACCGCAGACAGCCCGCCTGGTCCCCCTTCCCCCGCTGTGGGCGTTTTCCTGTGTGACCCGATCGTCTCCGCTCTCCCCCCGCTCCCCAAACCCCGCAGCCCCATATCATGGCTATCTCTCAGCTTACCTTGACCCCTGCTGACCCCTTAGCTTGTGGCATCTGCCACCTCTCCGTCTTCATCTCCCTTCTGGCTCCCCGTCAGCCACACTGACCGCTCGGCTGACTCAGGCAGCTTTCTGGCCTCGGGGCCTTTGCACGTGCTGCGTGGTTCCTCGGCCTGGAATGCCGTTCCTCGCCGTTCCTCGCCGTTCCTCCAGACGCCGGTGCGGCTTGCTTCCTCCCTTCCTCTATTCCTTTAGGTATTTGCTCGAATGTCATCTTCTCCGAGAGGCCTCCTCTGACCTCCTGCGAGCTTCCTCTGCCCTCCTGGGCTTCATTTCCCTCCCGAGTGCTTACCACCGTTGGACGTCTGTAGATGTTGTGAATCTAGTTTGGTGTCCCAGTCTGCCACCCGTGGGTGGGCTCCCAGGCTGTAGGGAGTTTTGTCTGTTTTGTTCACTGCCGTGTCCAGCGCCAGGGCCGGGCGGGGCGCTGTCCGTGCTGGAGCTCGGCGTGGGTGCTGACGCAGAGGCCCTCCTCCAGGGCACTCGCCCTCAGCACTGCTGGCTTTCTCGCTGGCGCTCAGACTTCCTCCTGGAGAGCCCCACGTCCCCTGTCCATCTGTCAGCTCCAGAAGCAGCTACCGGTGGCTGGGACCCCAGGGGGAGGGCCCTGGCCAGGCCCTGGCCTGGTTCACCCTGGGGAGTGTGGGAGGTGACGGGCCTGCGTGAGCCCACGCCCCCGGGTGACCGGGCCTGCTCCTTGTCCTGCAGGCCAACGAGTGCATGCGGATCAAGATCTTGGGCGACTGCTACTACTGTGTGTCGGGCTTGCCCGTGTCCCTGCCCACCCACGCCCGGAACTGTGTGAAGATGGGGCTGGACATCTGCGAGGCCATTAAGTAGGTGTCATGGACAGGTCTGGGTGCAGGGATCTGTCCCTGTGGCGAACATGGCGGGGAGCGCATTGTCCCCATTTTGCAGATGAGGAAACTGAGTTTCGAGGTGAGGGTGGCTTGCCTGGTGCACTCAGCTGTCTGCATCCCCCCCGCACTGGGACTCCGAGGCCCAGAGAGCGTCAGAGGCTCCGAGCTGGGGGTCGGGAGGGTGGGGCAGCTGGGCTCCCCTCCTCCAAGGACAGAGTCTCAGTGGCAGCAAGAGGCCCTCGCAGACCTGAGGGCTGACTCCGAGGCTTCATCTGCTTCCTGTTCCCCGTGAAGACCCTAGAGTTGAGGGGACTGGCTCTCAGAGCTGCAGGGAGACCCGCAGCCTCCTGGGGCTCCTTCCCACCACCACGCCCTCCCTGCGAGGCCGTCTGGAGCCCCCACCACTGTGCTCCGTGGGAGGCCCCCGTACTCATGGGCTGGGCCCCACCGGCCAGTGTTCCGGCAAGCAGGGCTCACTGGGCTGCCTGAGGCCGTAGCTCCTGATGTCAGCCTGGGTCCAGCTCATCCTTCCTCCTGGAATCTCACCAGAAACACTGGACAGGGTTGGGGTCCCAGCTGGCCCTGGCCCATGTGCATGAAAGTTGTGCTGGTCCCCTCCACCTAGCTTTGACCGCGGTGGGCTCTGTCCCTTCCTAGGCCTGTTGGTGGACATGTGGCACTGGCCACTCCCTGAGCCCGCACCCTCTTACTAAGGGGACCCAGAGGCCCTGCTCCTGTCCAGGGTGCCCTGCTGGGGAATCTCAGCTTGGGCTCCTTGCGTTGACTGGTGCTAGGACCCCAGGGTTTCTGTTCCCCAGAGGGGACCCCCAAAGGCTGGTCCCTCTGTTCTTTGTCTCTGCTGGGTTTGGGGCAGTGCCTGAGCCCCCTCTACAGACCCCCACAGCCTTCTCAAACCCATCCAGGGTGCTGGGCTGGGGAGACACCCGGTGACAGAATTTGGGGCCTTCTCCATGAGCTGCAGTGACAAATGACACCTGGAATTCCTTATCCTCCCAGCCTTTGAGCTTGGGACAGGCCTCGTTCATTTGCACACTCCCAGGGACGGGTCGCTCAGCTGCTGTCAAGGAGCCAGTGCTATTGGGCTGAGGACATCGTTCCTGTGAGCGGGGCCTGCCCTGCTCTGACACCCTCCCCCACGCTCCCCCACGCCCCTCGCTCTGCCCCCGCCTCCAGCCTGCCCTGGGGCCAGGGCCCCTCCAGCAGCCCTGGCTGGGTGGGCGACCAGACGGCTATGCCCCAGGCAGGTGCGGGAGGCCACGGGCGTGGACATCAGCATGCGCGTGGGCATCCACTCCGGGAACGTGCTGTGCGGCGTCATTGGCCTCCGCAAGTGGCAGTATGACGTGTGGTCCCACGACGTGTCCCTCGCCAATAGGATGGAGGCGGCCGGAGTCCCTGGGTAAGGCTCGGCCGCAGAGCAGTGGGGTTAGAGGCCAGGGTCCGACTCTGGGTGCCGGGCGTCGGGCGGGTCAGATAGAACCGGGGACCTCGCGGCTGGCCCGGGCTCCGGCCTGGCTGCTCCGTCTGACTGGGTCCCCCACCCCCGGCCTCCACCCCCAGCCGAGTGCACATCACGGAGGCGACGCTGAACCACCTGGACAAGGCGTACGAGGTGGAGGATGGACACGGCCAGCAGCGCGACTCCTACCTGAAGGAGATGAACATCCGCACGTACCTGGTCATCGACCCCCGGGTACGAGGGCTCAGACGCAGGGGGGCGGCGTTGAGGGGGGCGGCAGGGGCGCACACCCGAGGGAAGGCCCGTGGAGGGAGAGCAGGCTCCCCCCTCTAGGCAGTGGAGGGGCGGCAGTGAGCTCCCCGTCGCCGGTTCCCGTGTGTTCTGGTTCCCGGGTAACAGCTGCTCCTCCGTGCGCTTTCTACGGAACGAGAAAGCCAGCGCCGGCCACACGGGGGGACGTCGCTGCCCCGCGTGAAGCACTCGCTGTGGCCGCATGCAGCGTAGACACTCTTGGGATAATGGCCACCCTTAATTTGTTTTCCGTGAGGGTATCAGTCATCTGAATTTTCAGAAGACGCACTTTAAGAGCGTGCTTTGGATGAGACTCAGGAGCCGGACCCCTGTGTCCTGGCTCTGACCCGCGGCGTCGGGCGCCTCCGTCCCCACGAGGACCCCGCGGTGGTGGTGGGCAGCGCTGGGCTGCTCCCGGCCTGCCCCGCGCCTGCATAGGACAGTCTCCCGCCGCGGGAGGCAGCTTGTCCTGTGGCTGCTGGTGAATCATCCTTGGGGCTCGCTCAAGAATGTCACCATGGCAGGCTCTTCCTGCCCCCTCTCTCTCTGGCCTTGGCTGTCCTCAGGCCTAGTCCTCCCGGTCTCCAGGGAGCCACGGGCCAGCCCGTGAGCCTCCCCCAGCATCTGCTCACCCATCTCCACCCACCTCCTGAGTAACCCCGGTTCTCATCCAGCTGTTGTTCTCCGGGGCCCTGAGTTAGCATCTGGGGAAGCCCCTCCTGCGTACCTGGGGCTGCCCGGCACCTCCTCGGAATATAGCCCACAGCGTGGGTCCCTGACCTCTCCTCTGTCCCCTCCCTCCCTTCCTCCCGAGCACACTTCCCCCCAGCCCCGCACCACCCGCCTGTCCCTCCCCTGCCAGGCTCGTCCCACTGCAGGACCCTTGTCACTGCTGTCCCCTCCTCCCAGGGCCCGGGTGGCACCGTGCGTGACACCGTGCTCCTGTGCCTGCACACGTACCTTGGAGACCTCCCCCGTGTGTGCATAGAGGATGCTCATTTCTCATGACCGCGTGTGCCGCCCCAGGATGCCGTGGGCAGTGGACTTCCTGGGTGTCATGGGGGTCTCTTCCCCGCTTCCGCAGGCTCTGACTCACGTCAGTGGTGACGTGCGGGGTCACTTGTGGGCAGTGACGATTTGGGGGACCCGCCTCTGAGCAGGCGTGTTTTAACTGAGAAAGGATGGATCTTTGGCACACATCTTGGGGAGCCAGAGTGTCCAGCTCCCCTGCCCTGTGACAGAAGTGTCAGCGGCCTTGAACTTGAGCTGGCTGGGTACTGTGTAGGCGGAGTTGCCGACAGTGGAGGGGAGACCGATGTGCGACTTCCGCCCACCGCAGGGCACAGTGGCTTCTCAGACCCTGCCTGGGACTGTCGCAGAGGCCGAGTCCCACGCTGCTCGCTTGTGGCTCGGCCAATGTTTGTGGCCGTGGCTGGTCCACGTGGGTGTATGCGGGGACCCTGGAGATGGGGTCTCCTGGAGGGCAGTCATGTTGGGGGTAAGGGGTTCCACAGGCCTCAGGATGGCCCAAGCTTGTTTCCGGCGGTCTTGGGGGTCTTTCTTCTCCTCCCCGCTTTTTCTGGTCCTGCTCAGCCTCCCCACTCGGAGTAGGGCCCAGGCGTATCATTACGGGGACGGGACAGGACTGGGGTGCGGGGCTGGGCTGGACTCTGTCAGGGCCTGGCTGAGCCACCGTGTGCCGGGCACGGCCGCAGCAGGCCCGTGTCACTTGATGGACCCGTGATGTGTTTTGGGGCCACGAGAGTGCAACTCCCTAAGATGGTGCCCTGGGTGTGAGACGCCCCTCGGTGGGACGTCTCTCCGGGTTGCTGGCCAGCACCCCTCTTTTTTCCTCTGCTCCCCACAGGAGGGACATGTGCCGGCCACATGTGGGTGGATGGGATGCCTGTGGCTTCCCTGGGTGCTGTCTCCCCTGGGTGCTGTCTCCCCAGGGTACCTTCCCAGGGAGGGGCCGGTGGGCTTCCAGGCCCCAGGGACAGAGTCTGGGTCTGAGGTGCCTCAGTGGGCTCGTGGGGCGTTGGGGCTTAGGGCCCGGACCCACTCCCGCCCCTGGGGAGGCGGGGAGGGGTGAGCACAGCTGCGTGTGACTGTCTCCCTCCAGAGCGGGGCAGGGCCCCACGCTGGGGCCACCGCTCCAGCCAGCCAGTGCCCTGGGCTTCAGCCGGTCCCTGGGGACTGCCGAGCCAGCGGCTTTGACGGGGGGCGCCAGGGCAGGGGTGGGACCGTGTCTGTGTCTGCCCGCAGAGCCAGCAGCCACCGCCACCGAGCCAGCACCTCCCCAGGCCCAAGGGAGAGGCGGCGCTGAAGATGCGGGCGTCCGTGCGCATGACCCGCTACCTGGAGTCCTGGGGCGCCGCGCGGCCCTTTGCCCACCTCAGCCACAG